CAGTTACGTAAAATTTCAATAAGGTAAAGGCCGCTTAAGCATTATAACACCACCATTTTGTCTCGTTTCGTTTGAATTGTTGAGTTATATTTCTACATGTATATAGGAATATTGATGCATATGGCAACATACAGAACCATATGGTTTAAGGTACATTTAGAACATTAACATACATTGAGGTGAATTGAGAGATATCATGGATATGGGACATTATAATTATTAAGCCTCTGTGATTATAATTATTTGGGATTTTATTCAATGTTTTGTAATCCTTGTCTGTGTAGATTTTTTTTTTTACAGTTCTACATTCAGAAATTATAAAAAAAATCTATAAAAAGAATCTTTAAAAGATTTTGAAAAAAAGGTAAAAAAGAAATCTGTTTCTTTTAGACAACAAAATTTTGAAATTCCATACCATTTCAAAGTCTGATGTTTAAGGTAATAAAGTTCTGTTAAGTGAACTATCAAAGAAGAATACAAGGTTATAACAGGTGTTCCATTTAGATCATAAAGAATACCTGTAGTTTTCCTGTGACAGATATCGATTTGGCATCTATTGAAAAGATCATCCGCTTAAAAGTCGCTGCGCCGATGGCAGAACGTGGGTCCTCTTCTTTCTTAATTACCGTGCTTTCTCTTCTCGCATGTTTAGAATACACTTTTCTTGGGAAGATAATTGCAACTTTCCAGTGAATTATTTTATTTGCACGGGTAATTAATGGAGTTAAGGATTGGTTTACGAGACTTGGACTCATGTTTATGAAGGGACGAAGTGGTAAAACAGATGTAAAACAGTATTAAAACCCGGTAAATTGTCTGGATATCGATAAAGCCTTTTGAAGACATTAAGATGAAGACAAAAATATCTGACAGACTTCTTGATATATGGAGAGAGAGAGAGAGAGAGAGAGAGAGAGAGAGAGAGAGAGAGAGAGAGAGAGAGAATGATTAATAATTTCCTCTTGACCCGGTATTGATTTCCATGTATAATTGGCAGATTTGATTTGACACTTGGTATGTGAAGCTTCTTCCTCTGGCGGAACTGAATGATCTAAATCTAAGATATCTGTAGACATTATAAGAAACTTAATAAGTGCCCGAGTCCAATATGTACATAGAAAATCGCACACTGGCCTGCTGAAATTACTGTGTTCAACAACGAAAAACGATTTCTCAAATGTTAATATATATACAGTAACTGGAGAAGAAAAATGTGAAGTGGGGTGCTTTTATCTCCAATTTGACTTGAGTGAATCATATTATTTCTTTAAGAAATGAAAGTCACAAAAGTATTTTATATACGGCAGTTTATTAGGAGTATATTATTTTTTCTGCGAAATAATTTCGCGAGCAACGCCACAATAAAAAAAAAAATTAAATTTCAATGCAATATTATAATTTTTTTAGGCTGTTAAATAAGGCACGAATGATTCTAAGGTGGGAACTGTTTCGACACATATCGCATGGTGTGAGGAAAACTGTAGTATAAGGACTGTTTCATGTATACATTTGAAGCTATTACCAACCTTAGTAAAATGCACATTTACTTGTTACAATGTCTGTTCACCACCAAAATTATAATCTTACATGAAGTAATTCTTTTACAATGTAATACATGTACTTGGAAAGAGAGCAACATGTATTCTAGTTAAAGGGTTTTTTTAAATTTCAGTAAATAAATGCCCTGCATTGCAGAAATACCAGTGCACATTAATGACGGAAATTAGAAGAAAAAAAATTTGATAATCTGTGAAAATTACATCATTTCCCAGAAAATAATGTCCCGCCTACAATTTCGTTAAGCATATAGTGTATCTCAGTGTGCTTTCAACTAATCAACTGAAAAACGATCAACTTTTAGCAGATTACTTGGCAATAAATATCATATTCGTTAGATTATCTAAAAGACATGATATCAAAGAGACCGATTATAATAAAATAATACAATCTGGCAGTTTATGGTCTGTTTCGGTATCCACAGATAGATTTTCGACATTTACAATATTAAGCAGTGAATTTCTTAAAGGTTATACTGAATGAAGACAAGTGTGCCTAAATCGCGATAGGACCAAAGATCATCGATTTTTTTCTCTCTTTTTCCACAATAAACACTTCCTCGGGCTAAGTAACAGGTAGAAATGTTGAATACTGAAAGAAATGAAAACAATTTTCTTGTTTAGAAATACGTACTTCCATTCAATGCGCTGGAAAAAAAAAATTGTAAAAAGCAAGAGTAAAAATCTATTATGAACCGGAATTGCTGATAAACGATTTCAGAAAATTAATTTAATAAATCTGAGTTTCTATCAAATTGAATGTGGAAACATGATATTTATTATTCTTCCGGGGGGTATCGACTTTCCCCATTTTGGTCTTATGGGACGCTATATTAACCATATCATAATTACATCTGCTGAAATTGGGCTGTTTCACATACTCATTGAAACAACAGACCAATGGGCAGATAGGTCCAAAACTACAAAGAGAAAAAAATACAGAAAAGCAATAGTTGTCTTGTATGAGAGCAAATCTGAAGCACTTGGGATCTCCATAGTCACGCCAACCACTACTAGTATTTACTTTTACAATATCATTTCCATTTACGATATATACTAGTATATAATTACCACATATAATTAAGGCTCTTACTTACTCCGAGTGGGGGGGGGGGGGGGTTGTCATGATTTTAACAAACTTGAATCTGTAATACATAATGATGCTTTCAAATAATAATGACTAATCTGGACATGGCTTTGATGTTTTTGAGAAGATTTTAAAAAATATTTCCCTATATATTCATATATAAAACTCCCTAATTTTGGCCCCACCCTTTCCGGGGGGACAGGAATGAAAGAAAATTAAGATTGTCAAAAAGCTTTCACATAAGATTCATTTTGAAGCCAAATCTTCTTAAAATGACCCACCCATTGACACTATTTTTGATATCCTCCTAGAAGGGTGCGTGGCTCTTCATTTGGAGTCTGAATCCATACCCACTACTTTATTTCTCGCCAAGTTAAGTGTTTACATTTCCCAACTTATTTGATGCTCAAGAGCATGCCCCAAAACGATCAGTTTTTCAACCGAGGGAGGCTACTGACTGATAAGTTGACGCTAAAGAGATTTTAACAACCTCCTTTAAATGCAGCATTTTAAAAAATTCTGTGGACTTTAGGATAATCAACAAATGAATATTATCATTGGGTCGTATATCGGCTGATTTTCTTTTCATTCCAATAGTTATGCCTTTGGTTTTATATACAACTGTACTGAAATTGAATATGAATGTTCCGCCTACCTGATCAAATACATGAGGCTCAGAGGATGCTTTCTCCTGTTAGGCGCCTGATCCCGCCTGCTGAATTTCTAGGGGTCCGTGTTTATGTCCAGCTGACATATTTGTATCATTAAAAGATTTTTAGCGATCGATTCCTATTCGATATCTTCACTCTTTAAGCTTTTGAATCCCCCTGTTAAATTCTAATTATTCTTAATTCTCTGCCAAACATATTCATGCATGTTTGCATCAATCGTACTTTTAAACGGATACTATGAAATACATAAGAACGTTTAAAATAGGCCAGACTATGAATTTAAAACAGGAACACTATAATACCTTTCCTCGAACAAAATACTAGAAAACAACAGTACTTTAAATGTTATAAACAATCTTGGACTCAAATAAATTTTCTGTCAATATTCCTAATCGATTTTAAGCAATTTTTCTCGTCAAGAATGGTCGAAAGCATTCCTTTTGTCTGCCAGAAAATTGTCAGCATCTTTAAGTTCCAAACTTTGATTTAATTTTCACCAAATACTTTCTTCTCGGACTCACAAGGGTGCTTGGTTTAATTACTCCTTTCTTTACTTATAAGGGGCGGTAATTGTGAAGAGACAGCTCCTCTGATTGCTTGTATTCACTTATCCCTCAGAGAATCGCTTGGCGATTGTAGGGAGATTAATTCAGCGAGTAACAAGATGATAAAATCTACGCTTCTGTTAATTGAAGGCAGTATTACGATGGAGAGCCATACGATGTTTTAGGAGAATCCAGAAAAAAAAACCCATGTTATTTTAACATGCAATCTCCTTCGCTTACATCGGGTACTATAATTATGTAACCATTCTTTGTTGTATACTGATGGAGAAATGAGGGTATTGTAAATAAACTTATCTCGACTGCATGACGGAAGAGTGATTTGTAACCTGTTGCGAGTATGGTTTCATTTAGAACTGTGTAAATAAAGAGTATGGAAGTCTATAATGCGTTAACATCCCATTGTAAATATTTGCCTTATTGATGATATGAGTTGTGTATATGATATCAATTTTTTTTACCAGTGAATGTTACATTACATATGCATAATATTATAATAAGTTTGGGGTCATTGAAAATCCCCTAAAGAACTACACTGTACGTAAGTATGAAAAAGGAAACTAATATAAAATTTTACATAATAAAAAAATAGTTTTCTTTTATTAATAACTGCAAGACCATGTTAATCTTATTAACATTAAAGCATCCATATGATGTGTAGATTCGGGGACCCTTTATAATTGGGGTGGGTTAATAATATGGTTTCAAATTTTTTTCAAGAAAATATAAAATTCTTTTAAAAATATTTTCTGAAAAACATTAGGAACCACGCGTTGAAGCCCATAGGCTCAGGCATTGCTGACAATTTTGGAAAAAAATGGTTTTAAATGCATTTTACTGGGTCAGTTTACCATCTCATAAGATACGTACTAGAATATGTGCTGGAGACTACAATACACACGTATTAAAATAATGTAGCATATTCTATAGCGTTGTATTGGCTCAAAGTCATTTGAATCTTTGCTTCATAGAATTGATTACACTTTTATATATATAGGGGTAAAACAAAACTTGAGGTTTACTGTTATAATATTTGATAATTTTTGTTCAATCATTAATGCATATTCTTTTTCGATTTTTTTCACATCTTGTTAATGATTTACTTACATATATATTTTATCAGTGTCCAAATCACTTGCAACAGACATCCACAGAAATATTACGATCACGGAGGGAGATCTGGCCATTCTACCATGTGAAGCACACGACGAGGGAAATAAATACCAAGTAAGTTCACTTTGGTCACTTACCTTTAGGCTAAAATTATTCATGGATGCTCGTATATACGGTCGGCGGGAGATGCTCACTCTTTTATGGCATCTGACCCCATCTCTGGTATTTTAGAGCTCTGTGTTTGTTTTTCTCTTATTTTTTTTGTTTGAATGGACAAATTAGCCAGAGTATTGTTCGTTCTTTAAGTACATACATGTAGATAAAACATCTAGAAACTTATGCATCCTCTTTCTTCAATCTTATCTAACAATTATCTTAAATGTAATTAATGGAAACGATTCTTAATTCTTTTTTTTATGATCCTAGAAAATTCGTTTGTAATTTTTTCCCCTTCATTTTATACTTAAGGCAATCAATGATGTAACCCAAAGTTAAAGTCTACGTATTGATTTATTACCTGACTTTAATACATAATCGTTCTTACAGAATGTATTTAAACATCCTTTTGAATACAAGATGATACCTCATGGCTAGAACAAAAAGAACATTCCTGAAAAAATGTGTCAAGTGTATTTCAAAATCCTCATTGACCTTTTAAACTCCATTAAATTTTCAAGAATCAAAGCAGAGAAAAATTATTAAATTACCTAGGAAGACTGGTCAATTTAAATAGTCATGTAGCGAAAGTTCACGGAAAACTTCCTGTGAATTCCTAATTGTTTAAATGAAGGGCTATGCTCTAGCTGTTCCAGGAATAAATAATAAAAAAGACAATAAGATAGGATTGAGTCATTGAGAAAAATCTTCTTCTCAAGAACCACTGGAGCAAAAAGTATAATCTTATATTGAAGCTTCTTTAGGAGCTGTGGATTCACAGGGGGCTAGGGTGGGGTCAAGACAGGGGATGGAAGTTAAACAGTGAAGTACTAGTATTTCAGAAAAGCTTTAAATATTTTCTCCACAAGAACCACTGGGTCAGAAAAAGGTGAAACTTCTGTGGAAGCAAAATTCTAAGATGATGCACGCGGTTCTAGATTTTCAGAACATAACTTCAGGCTGGACAGGGTCACAATAAGAGATCAGAGATTTCCACTGGAATACGAAAAAAAGTTTAAAATCTTCTTCTCAATAATTAGAAAATTGGTTAAAAAGGACACTTGTGTAAGTGCTTCCTGAAAAAGTATTCAAATCAGAATCACAGTGTATGAATAGGGCCACAATAAGAGATAATTGTTTTACATTGATATACATTTTCTTTTCAAGAACAGCAAAACAAATATTAGTCTTATTTGTTTAGAAACATTGAAGGGTTGTGTACATTTATATTATATCAAATCACGAGCAGGTGGTTAGGTGGGATTACAATTTGTGATCAAAGTTTTACATAGGAATGAATAGAAGGACTCCATTGACTTAGGTCAGTAGGTTGACCTCATTATTTTGAGCGTTTATATTCTGTTAATATTAAAAGTGTTAGATGTATTTTGGTATTTTGCTCTTCTGTGAATTTTCTAGTCTATTTTGGCAACACCTAAAAGCTGAAAAAAATATATCTGAAAGCATTTCTATGCATTAATAAAAATGTTTGTAAGTTTGTAGGAAAATGTATATACAATTCATTAATTTCTCACCCTTTGAAATATTTAATTAAATATTAACTTATACTTGATATTGATTTTTTCCCGCAGTGTATTACCAGTTTACTTGTTCTCTAATACCTACAAACGATTCATTTAAACCTTATCTCTTGACACTGAACTTTTTCGACATAGGACAAAAAATGATAAATAAATTTATTCATGGAATATTTAAAGATAACTAACAGTATTCGAGCTCAAAAGTCCATTAAACATTACAAAATAAGAACGGAGCAAAACATCAGAGATGGGATCGGATGCCATGGAGGAGTGAACATGCCCTCCGATTGACCACATCCGCAGTGTACTCCTTCTCATGTTCGGTAAAAAAAAACCCGAAAAAATTCATGGACAACTCAGCGGGTAATAATGGCCTAACAATAATGCAAATTCCTCATTAACCACAATCAAGTTTTAGATAGTATGTTGACGGTGCGACCGTTAGAGCGAGCGTAAACTCTTCTAATTGTTTTAATTTAAATCGGGCTCGTCAAATCACACGTGGCATTTGGTGCGTCTAGACTCTGACGTCACATGACGTCGTATGTATGTTACAAATACCAAGAAAAAACTGAACAGTGCTGAAAGTTAATGAAAAAAGTTACGTTTACTATTTATTTTCAATATGTATCCAATTAATCAAGGCGAGTAAACTTTTTATTCATTCTCGCGAGAACACAACTTTACTAAGTGATGCATTGTGGGTCAAAATTACTGCGGCAAAAAATTCTAAAGAATGAATGTGCAGTAGTCCGAATTTTCTCTTCGCCCAGGCGTTGTCGTTAGAGCTCGCAGTTACGAGCGTCGCTTCGCTCGCTGCGCTCGCTATTAAACTTAGCCTTTTCACTACTGCTGAAACTATGATATAGAAACCGTCAGAACATTGTTTTTGAAACCGAATCAAAGAAACTTGTTAAGGTTGGAAGTTTTTATCACCCGTTTCTTCGAACCCCTACTTTTTCGCCCTATCTCCTTTTCCCCTCTCTCTTTATCAAAGCTCTAAATCCTTATTAAGAGTAATTCGTTATGCTAGCTAAGCATAAATATATTCCATCACGGGTAATTCGTGATTCTATTACAGGTAATTCGGTGTGACAGGCCTCTTATGATGTGGAAAATACTTCTTTAATTTATATCCCAAATAGAAGGGTATAAAATGGAAATTAGCTTTGCTTCGCTATAAAATCGTCAAGCAGAAAAGGAGAAATCGTGGCTTTGAAAATCATTAGGCTTTAAAACATTTGTCATATCAAACTACACGTAAAAAACGTGTAAAGTGAAAATCGACTATAATCTAATGCGCAAAACAATGCATTCTTTTAACAATTAACCAGTTTAATAAAAGTAGTTGTATCACATTTTACAGTTAATTGCCTCGGCTGGTGAGCAGGTAAAGGAAAACTGTTAATAAAACTATTAAGAATTCACCAGAGGACAAGCATATTGCTCCGATAACCAACGCGTGTTAATGCAACAGGGATTGGGTAGCAGGAACATTTGTGACTTCATACAGAGGTGTTAAAAACGTCAAATATCCTTGTCAGATGGATTTCACATCAGATGGTCAAAAATCCAGACTTGTATATTTTACTCACCATCACAGGATAAGTCTATAGATCTCTTACATCAGTATAAAATGCACGAATTCCCCAGCTGGTAATAACTATTCCAAGTCATAAAATATAGACTATCATATAGAAAATAGCCGCTTTGTACATTTCCCCCCTAAATTTTCCTATATTAGAAAACAGATGTTTCTATTGACAAATCCAAAAGATTGACATGCAATATAAATGTTATAAATTAAGAATTTGGAATTTGAAAAAAAAAATCCAAAATTACTAAATTTCGCCCACACGTGACTTCCAAAATGCTTAAATGCAACCTATTTATGTAAACATTCAACCTATCTATGTTGTCATGCAACTTAATTTGATGACATGCAAAATAATTATTCACATATAGTACATACTACTTAGTGAAATATATGAAGATAACGACCAGTATTCAAGCTCAAAAATCCACAGAACAGTACAAAGTAGGAGCAGAGCAAACACAGACCTCGAAAACATCTGAGTTGAGATCAGGTGCCACGGAGGAGTGAGCATTCTCTGCTGACAGCACACACCCGCAATGTGCTCCTTGTTATGATTGGGACACAAAGGCAAAATCTGTCGTCAATTCAGTGTATAAATAATGGACTAACAATTAGTATAAAAAATGTCAGTCAGTATTTGACTCAATGATAAATTGTATTTGCTGACAAGGTCATTGCATCGATCGTAGAACTTAACGAAATGATGACTTTAAACGAGACTGCTGATATTCTTGTTTCAGCGACTAATTTGTCTATAATATACCTCTTTTTAGAAATTGTTCATACGTAGAGCATGCTCTTTTGCGTATCGAATCAATTGAGATATATAAACCCCGTACGCAGGTACTTAAAGGGCCTTTCACAATTGGCGCACGAGCAGAAGCGACAAAATATTCGTGCGACCGAAAAACTTTGATTTGGATCGTAAACTGTTGCTGAAATAATCGCATATGAAAAAGTATTCGTACGAAATTCGCACGATCTAAAGCGACCCTTGTGCATTAAATCTTAAGATGTATCTTGCGTCTATATGCGACTGTTGTACAATGAAAGCGAGTGTTGTAAAATAATGCCAAAGGATCACACGAGTGATCAGGTGATCGGACGATTGAACGTGCACCAATGCGATTGGACGTAAGGCGCTCGTGCAATCATGTCTTTCATGGTACGAATGATCGTGCGAGTGAGAAGGGGAATATATATATACCAACCGTTTCTGACCCTCGTCAGTCGAATGCAAGAAATGCTGGCCAAAAAGATGACAAAAGCTACAGGAAAAGCCAAGGTAAACTGTAGAAAGAAGGCCCAGGAGGAGAAGGATGCCCAGGACCTGCCGCAGCCCTGTTCATAATTCGCCTGAGCTTTTCGAGAGGGCAGAGCCACCAGACCAGCCAGTTGAGCCTTTAGAACCTGATGGGTACAGTGAGGATGAGGACAGGGTTTACATATACTAGTGACAAAGAATGGGAAATTGAAGCTGATAAATCATGCATAGTACATGTAAAACGTTGCAAGATTACACGAAACACGTTGAGCAACAGTCTCATGGTCGCACAACACACGAATATACAGCTGCGATTCATCTTACGACCTTTAAAAATCGTGCATCACTCTTGCGAGTACACAAAACGTTGTAAGACGCTCGTACGAATATTCGTGCGTTGATTTGCGATAAATGTGGATCGCATTTGGTCGCGTCTGAATATTGTGCATGTCGACTATTTTGAATAGACCTGATGCGACCACTAAAACGCACGCAACGAATGCGAAACTTCGTGCAACGTATGCGAGAGCTCGGCGATAGCTCATGCGATGCTAAAAGTTTCCGATCGCAAAGTGTTGTAAAGTGCTCGTGAGCCAATTGTGAAAGGGCCTTAAGGTATATTGCTGCATCAGTAAGGGATGTTGACGATTGAAAAGTTAAAGTCATCACGTTTATCATAAAGCTTGGTCATTAGATTACAATTAACATCAATTTCAAGTAAAATATCCAAACATGAAACAGATATGTCAAACTCTGTGGAATCATTTATCTCAAGCTCACCGGGATATGTCATATCAACATAAGAATGGAAATACCATTGTTAATTTACAATACGTGGTCGTATCTAAATGTCGAGTTAAAGGCAAGTCTTTTCTTCTTTTCACTAACTAGCTGCAGAACTGTAGCTCTCTGCTTGAGAAAATTCGGACAGATAAAGCAGAGCTACAGATCCAAGCCTTGTAAAAACCTTCGATTTACACCAACGATTTTTTTGTCGCTACTTTAGGTATTTATTTCATGTAGTTTAAGCTTTCTCTGGCTTTTAGAATGGTATCCCATATTAGTTCATATATTTAACTCTTACATTTGATACTTTGTTTACCTTTTAACGGTCCGAAACAGTCCTGTATATAGTTTGGTAATGTCCATTTAAAAGAGTTCCATTTCGACTTCCGTAACCACAAACAGGCATTTGTTAGCGTTGAGAGGTAAGTAAATGATCAGGAATTGAAGTTGAATGTATGATTAGTTATTAAATATCACTTAAAATTATTTTCAAAGCTGGTGAAAGTATAAAATACACGAAAAAATACCCATAGTGAGCAACAAAAAATCGTCGGCGTAAATCGAAGGTTTTTACAACGCTTAGATCTGTAGCTCTCTGCTTTATCTGTCCGAATTTTCTCAAGCCGAGAGGTACAGTTCTGCAGCTATTCACTAACAAGATTATGGACAAATTCTGCTTCATATGAATACAAAAATAGGTCTGTTTATAACGTGGCACAATTGGTACCCATGGAAATTCCATTAGATTGTTTGAAGACCTTGTCCCAAAAAACCAAATAGATATTGTCAATCTGAAACTCAGGCATTTTTTAGATGTCAACTTCAGAGTAGTTTTGTGTACAGTCATAATAATTTTAACAAAATAATTTTGCAAATGACCAATGACAAGGTAATTAAATTCATTGGAAAAGCATCTGTCAATGATATCAAAAAGCCTGCACTTAAATTTATCTTGGGGAATGGTTGTGTATAAAATTGAACAGTCGTAAGATTTTAAGCTGTTGATTTAGGTAAGATCTTGTGATTTCAAATTTTCACAATGTTCCTTAGATTTATTAAGCATCCAAATCTGATTTACACTCTTATCAAATATATTGTTGCACAGTACTCCTTAAGTTTCTCCTTCACTATACTGTAAACATCTTAGTGAGGAGTAAAGAAAGAGGCTTGGTTGAAAATTTACTGTAACCCACTATGTATTTTTGTTTGTAAGGAAGTTTCGGAATCCAACATAGACATGGTAATTCAGATTCATTTTGGTTGTCTGAGATATTAAATATATTCTAAACTGACATATAATTTTAAAGAATTTCTTCCTTAGAAGGGGAACTATGAATATAAGTTGGATTACACCTGTAGAATGAAATCAAAGTTCCTCTAAAATAAATTAATATAATGAGCCTTACAACGAAGACAATGCTGTTACCTGCTTTGTCAACAGGGACCAGTCCGTACTGATCATGTAATCTATCTAATTCTTTTTTCAATTCTGGACAGGATAGATGATTTCCATACAGATTGTATAATATGTATATGTTTTCATGAAAATTACTAATACAGCCGCTTCGGGCAACAAATTTTTAACCGATGATTCTAAAAAATCAATCTTGAAAACTTCGATTTTTATATAAAGTTTTATTTCTTTACATTGCAAAAGTTAATGTTCATGCAATTGTTAGTCTTTTATACTGTTGTTCCTCTAAGATATTTGTTTAGGGCTTATGTTGTTGTTTGGTTATTTCTGACACATCAATGAATTTGTTATCTTGGTTGAACTGCAAGTGAACATGAATAAGTTGCATGTTGACATAGATAAATAAGTTGGCTGTAAATATAAATAAGTTGCATGCAACATGTTGATGTCACATCTGGGCGATGATTGATAATTTTCCAAATTATAAAATCATTGCATTTATCCTGCTTCTCAACAATATTACATACTGTTGCTTGTTAACTGTTTATTCTGCATGTTGACATCACGGACAAACGTGATATGGGGATTTTGTATATATTGACTATCACACAGTAAATAATAAAAAAAAATCAACATGACACACAGACGAAAAAAAGTTTTGTAATCTAAGTACATTGTAAATATGAAAGCATAAATACTTAATTATGTGTGCTAGACTTGAGAAATGCATCTTTAATTACCCAAAAAGTTAGAAAAGAAATGTTTTGTAAACAGGCAGATAAAGAAAAAAAACATTGGAGGCATAAAAATTGACAGAACTCTACCAATTCAAATTTAATTTTGAAAAAATTGATAAATGACTTACTTAGTTTCATATAGTCTTTATCAAATGAGAAAGTAAGGAAAGAATTTCTTTTAACTGATTTGAGACAGACCTAACTCTCTGCCAGCACTGAGATCGAGAGAGTAAGTTTATTTATCAATGGAGGCCTCTGTGTCCGTTACCAATCCATCACATTGTATGTTAGCCATCAAGAGGAGGGCGAAAAAGATGGATATTGAGTGTTATTTGACACAGGCACGTCGCTTCTCCTCATCTGAGATTAAACCCAGGATCTCGATATAAAAGAAAAAAATATACAAAATACCGCGTGATTAACTGTTAAATAAATACCAACTACTACTTTTAACTGATTGAAATTATCGTAATTAACATCACGCAATGGCATAATAGCCAAATGAAGTGTGAATCATAAACCTTCGGTGAAAAAGGTGCGATACATCTTGATAAATCAATTTACTCACGACTTGTGTAACCAACATTTAAATATTTGAAAAGCAATTATTATATAAAGAACTAAAAATATCTGTCTTAAATTAGTTGTTATGAAAGCCACTTTTCAAAAATAATTTTTTGCACCTTTACCAAAATTTTAGTAAAGGATGGAGGAGAAATAATAAACATGCAGTCTGTTGCAATCAAAATTAATCATAAACAAGAGGAAACATCAAATTTAAGATGTACTTGAATCCTGATTATGATTATTTCACTTTTTAAAAATATTTTTCTATTTCGATTATTCTTAAGTTTTAATTTTGATTCATATTCTTCTAAAGTTTTAACATTAGGCATCAGAAACAAGTTAATGCAAAAGGACACTCTAGATTAAGGAAAATTTATTGCTTGAAGTTGTTCAAAGCAAGGTCTGAGTCCGATTCATGGTTAACTCACCATTTAAGGTGCCCTACTTTCGCTGATTTACAGAGCTGTGATTTTCACCCACCTCCCTTTACAACGGCTTGCGAAAGTGAATCCCAAACTGACGTTTACAAGAACATCCGAAGCATTCATAGATTTTAAAAAACGAAGAAACATATTAAGTGTTTTGTTTCTTGACCATAAATCACTTTTCTGACACTCCATCTTTTTCTCACGAAGACAATGGGTATTAAGTGTAAATATTCTGAGAAAACGGAGATGTTATTATCATAAAAGAGCTTTAACTAAATTTATATTTTACATCACTACAATGCCAGAATAGGACACATGTAGCTTATCTGTACATTTGTTTGTTATTACAATGTAGCTTTAAACGAAGTAAATTTTCAGTAACTTTCATCAAGTAAATGAAGGTGACCCGTGTCAGAAACTAGAATGTGTAAGAACTTTAAATCTTAATTGACATCAGCCTATACAAAAATTCATAAATTCTGTTGGCTAATATTATTTTTTAACCTATTTTTTACATTGGTATTTTCTTTAGGTAGTATGGATGCATCCAAAAAAGATATTGATAGGTAAAAATCAGAGGCGGTTTATGGATGACCCTAGAATTTCAATCGAACACACGTACATCGGGTACTGGAATCTTCATATCAGACAAATCAAATACGAGGACAGAGGGGAATATACGTGTACAGTAAACACTAGTCCTGTACGAATAACAAGGATAAATCTTATGGTATACGGTAAGTGCCAAAACTCTTAATTTATCAATAAATGTAAATTAAGTACAATGACATGATTTTGTAAATACGACATACCGGTACTTTAAAAGTGTACTTTTTATTAAAAATGGTGCAATAAATGAAAAACGTGTTTTAAAACGAAGAGCTGTTTAAAGAATTTCCTAGGTCTAATACTCTTATTAAAAATTTTACTTTGCAAAAGTTCTTTTTAATCTAATGTACACAAATATACATGTATTCATTATGTTAACAAATTGCGTGGAAATACATTGTTATGATATGAATTCGGAAAAATATTCAAAATGTTATGGCTACTAGATATAGAGGCAACATATGTAATACATACAATGAAATACATGGAGATAACGGACAATATTCAAGCTAAAGACTCTATAAATTGTTACAAAGTTGGAGCAAGGCAAACATGGACCTTCAAAAGAAAAACAAGAAAAACAGAGGTTGAATCAGGTGCCACGGAGGAGTGAGCGTCCCCTGCCGACCGGTCACACTCACCGTCTTGTCATGATCGGAAAATAACAGAGAAGTCCATTGAAAAATCAGTGTGTATATAATGGCCTAACAATTATGCATTAAAAACATCATTTTTTAGTCAGTATTTGACAAAACGATAAATTGTATTTTCTGACGTCATTGTGTCGAACATAGAACTCACCTCACGAAATAATGATTTTAAATGAATCACTGTTGATATTTATGTTGCAGCAACTTGTTTGTCATCAACTAATTGCTGCATAAGTGAGGGAAGTTGAGGATTGAAAAGTTAATCATCTCGTTTATCATAAAGCTTGGTTGTCAGATTACCATTAACATATTTTTCAAGTAAAATATCTAAATAAATAATAAGTAAAGCATTACACCGAAAGATATACTTAAATACTGAGCCCAGATCAATTCAAATCAGCTCTTACTTCTATACAACTGGGTTTTAAAGGTCTAAAATATCGTATTTAAACCAGTCCCCGTAGTGTCCCACTATAATATGGTATATATAAATTTCGTAGTTAAATTGCATAATGTAAAAAAATTCAGTTATTTGGTTGAAATTCTGTTCAATGCAAGAGGGTAATTTTCTGGTGATTTAGTTTTCATTTTCAAGATTCTCAATTAAAAAAAAATTGACATTTAACTAAATAGTGGAAAATGGTAATTAACAAAGGTATACATCTTTATTTTCATTGTAAATATCAAAATGTTACTTATTTCATGCCAACTTTTCAGCTTGTGGTTATTCTATATTTGTTTTGTTTTATTTTCCAATGTCCATGTACCAGAAGCTCGGCTTTCTCCGTAAACCAGGCTCAGAGTCAGAGTCAGAGAAAGCCGAGCGTCGAGATGAACTTTTAGATGGTATGGTTATGTCAGTAAAAAGCTAATGAAGAAATACAAAGCAACCAAATGGTCAAGAATAATACAGTCTGTTATGGCCAAGTCACTTTACCATTTAAAGTTGCTGCTAAAGATGGTACAGCTTTTTAAAAAAAAAAAGACTTTAACTGTAAATATATAGATATAGATGTCTTAGTCTAACTAATCTCCGTATTGTGCCATTATAATTTGGTTATACATATAGATAAAGATGTCGTAGCCAAACCAGTACCAGTAGATGCTTTTCATTTCAAGTTATCCTTTGTCGTGCTTTAATGTTATGTCATCCAAAATCTTGTTAATTTCAGTGTCTGTTAAACAGTCATAATTAATTATTAGCAAATATTTATCAATTAACATGCAGTTTCATCTTTTTGATGCAAAATATTTATACAGGTTACAGATTAAATAGAACTGTTACAGATTCTAGCCTGCAGTTAGGTTATAATAACTTCCTGCATGGCGGTTAATGTGATTTTGCAAGGTGTTTCAGGGGACACACAACGTTTAATTTACGAGTATATTTGAAATGTAAATGTAAAAGCCATTAATATCATGACTAATCAAAGGAGGATATATTATGGAGGGCAAATAACAGTATATACTTGATGAAGAAAAATGGAGAGCGAAAGAGCATGGCGGGGGAGAGAGTTGATCTAAAAGATTTTATTAATTCATATTTTTTTTTAATCACAGTTCCTGCCCGGATTTTAGAATACGCCTCAAGTAAAGACAGAAGCGTCAGGGAGGGACAGGACGTCACGTTATGGTGCAATGCAACAGGCATACCAGAACCTAATATCACGTGGTTCAGAATTCACCAAACTATTCCTCAATCTAGAATACGTAAGTTTATGAAGGAATATAAAATGATGTTTTTAGCATAGTTTTATACATTTTTGTGAAACAGTCTTCATCTTTATAACAAAGTATTACGAATTGTATAAATGAAGGGTTTAGCCTCCATCTATGGTGAAGCAATTAAAGGGAAGGCAATAAGAGACTGACCCTGTAGATATGCAACTTATGTTTAAGCTTCCGAAGAAAGTGTAGATTTTATACTATTTAAAACATGGTACTCTGGAGTAAGGTGGCGTCAGGCCTCTCAATAAGAAAGACATTTTTTTTTACTTACGAATAAATGTATATAAAATGTTTTGAAATTTGAAGAATTCCTTGACTACAGAAGATGATAAAGCTTTTTGTGAAAGCTTCCAGAGGGAAACATTGACCCAGGGAAAGGTCGGGCATAATGAAGGATAGAAGTTTAAAATTAAAAATTAAAGAAAAAATAATTTTTTAAAAATCTTTACCCTAAAAGAACTGAATATGCAAAGATAATACCTGTTTGAAGCCTCAAGATAAAAGGTAGATTCTATTGTTTTCAAATCATGGACGTCGGAGTTAGGAGGGGTCAACAATTAAACTGCAGCTTTCAGAAAAATCTTCTTAAGAACCTTGACCAGAAAAGTTGAATTTTGTGAAAGTTTCTTGAGGCAGTGTAGATATACAGCTATTTAACTCATGGTCCAGTAGGTAGATTTGGTAACAGTATTTTCACCATAGAAATGCCAGGGGTCCTGAGGCAACAGCTTATTTTGGACCTATGTCATATTTCATTAGATATTTGTGGTTTTGCTTCGGTCATTGAGAAGCACCAATAAAACGAAAGTTTTTTTTTTATAAACAGTTAGGTAATGTAAACAAGAAGGATTCAAATGGACGTGTTACAAGTTGTTTATCATAGAATTGCTTAATACATGTATGATTGGTTTAAGGAAAAGAAAAAACAATCAAGGTTTGTAATTTTTCCGAAAATCTTCACTCAGTCCATGAATTCTGAATGAAAAATTCAAGGGGTCTAACTGCAACGTTTAAAAATATATCTAACAACAACTCGTCAGCATAACCAACCGCTTGATCTTTTTCAGTCAACTTTTCTCATGTATTTTTTGAAATTCTGTGTTTCCTTACTATTAAAATACTGCAAAAGATTAGCCTATAAAATAATTTGTTGTTTTAATACAAGAAACTGTCATTTTTCAGTACAGACTAACAATTACTGTTGAATTAAAATATGAGTACCAAGTAGTGATTTTGTTCATTTATAGATATAAGCCTCTTTTACAAAAAATAATACAGCAGTGTAAACAAGAAGGATTCAAATGGACGTGTTACAAGTTGTTTATCATAGAATTGCTTAATACATGTATGATTGGTTTAAGGAAAAGAAAAAACAATCAAGGTTTGTAATTTTTCTAAAATCAGTCCATGAATTCTGAATGAAAAATTCATTTTGCAACGTTTAAAAATATATCTAACAACAACTCGTCAGCATAACCAACCGCTTGATCTTTTTCAGTCAACTTTTCTCATGTATTTTTTGAAATTCTGTGTTTCCTTACCATTAAAATACTGCAAAAGATTAGCCTATAAAATAATTTGTTGTTTTAATACAAGAAACTGTCATTTTTCAGTACAGACTAACAATTACTGTTGAATTAAAATATGAGTACCAAGTAGTGATTTTGTTCATTTATAGATATAAGCCTCTTTTACAAAATATAATACAGCAGTGCAAAGATGATTTGAAATAAATCACGAATTATTGTGTAGATGGTCCAGCAGTCATTGATTGTATGTAAAAATTGATTTACAGAACCAAATCTCTAAATTGATTGAAGATTGTCTTTCAAATGGCATTATGTGATTTATTATTTATAAATTGGTTAGAAGTAAAATGTTTTTCTATGACTTTATATTTAATAATACTCTCTATTGTGTGCATTTGATGAGGTTTCTCAGGTTACTAGTAAACATAAATGAGAGAGGATTTATAACACAATGATCATGGTTATATGAGGATTTAACAGGAAAAACAGGACGTTTGCTTTGCTTCTATCTTAATTTTCTGCAAATTAGAACGATTAAAAACATTAATATAGAAACTAAAGAATAAAAAAGGATTGGCTCAAAACTTGAGCAGAATAGAACTTTTTTCCAAACTATCATTCACTTCATACTGTATCTTGTTTCCCATTTTTAAAACGTTTTTAATTAACATAAGCACACAGAAATAGAAGCCTATCATACCAATTGGAAAATATAATATTTATGTAATATTCCTATATGACATGGTTTCTACAGATGGAACCAGTTTTTAATATTCTATTCTTACCTGAATATTTCTTAAAAGGCGTGGCTATCACGTTCACGTATGTTTTGATTCCATATCGGGCTAACCTATTGATGTTGCTAATCTGCATCTAGAGCAATTCCTTTTTTTCATAAATCAGTGATGATTACCATACTTTTCAATTAATAAATAAAGAACACAGACTTAATTTCTTTAGACCCAAAAAGTAGTAATTTTTCGCAAAGGTAATTTTTTGATTTCAAATTTTAAAATTTTAAGTCAATTCATATGTCTTTCAGATTAGACATACTGGAACTGACTTGATTCTTATTAACGATTTAAAAATTTTTTTTGAAAGCACACAATAAGTTTATTGTTCCAGATACCTGAAAATATTTTTCATTCATGAAAAGACAACTGTACGCTTTGGTTGTGCTTTTGGGCTTCTCGCTGACAAAACATTTTGTAACATGTAAGGAAAAGGAAGCTAATACATGTTAATTTCTTACAACAGGAGTGGGAGATGTTGGAGACACGTTGATCATTAAGAATATTTCACGCCATTGTGGCGGGGAGTACGAGTGTATGGCCGACAACGGGGTGAAGGCGGCAGTACAA